AGTCATTTTGTTTTCTTATGTGAATCAGAAAACATTAATCACCTTTAGGTGATTCTCACTAACCTCCTCCTCCCTGATCACTTTCCTTCTAGTCATGACTCTCCCAGGCAGCCTTTCTCCCCAGGCCCTCAACGACACTGCCCGTGACTACACCATCCAGCCCGACCTTGCCCTTCTGACCTTGTGCAGTGTCCGTGCCACAGGTAACTGTCCTGACCCTCGACTCAGAGTCCTGCTTTCTGCCACATGGCTGCTAACATTTTTCAAACAAATTCATTTCTCATTCTTATTCCCAGGTGAGCAATGGGCAATTGAATGGGAATGTTGGAACAGCAACCTAACTGAAAGTGGTAACTCTAAAGAACCTCGTTCTCTTCAGACAGGTAAGGTAGATATTTTGAGGGAAAGGGGCTTCTGCTATAACTTGTAGCTGGCTAGCACTGGATCTCCCCGGGCTATAGGGGTATTTGCACACATGACCAAGACCAATCGTTTTCTTACTACTTTGGTTTATTTAGATTTAAGTCTTCTCTGAATTAATCTGTAATCAAAAATGAGCTCTCATCGCAAAGAGTGCTTATCTGATCCTTTATGCAGAATCTGAATACAAGGGTCCTAAATGCAGTAGCATTTTAGCTATATTACATTTTGAGCTTATGTCTAATTTTCTGCTTAATATCACCTTAGGCCTCTTTTATTAATATTGAATTCTAATTCTAGCTTATCTAATATCAGTATTTAAAATTGCTCCTTCTCTATATACATTTGCTTGGATTTTTAAGTTTAATTGTTTTTTGCTATTTCCAGTCTCTAACAATCTCTAGGGACCCTTTTGAATTTCATCTTACTCCTCATTGGTATTTTGTATCAAACACCTCTCCATTTAGCATCATCTGAGAATTTAATTAACTTGCTCTTTTCCTTCTGTTTCAGGTCAATGATGAGGATGTTAACGTAGCTATGACATTAGTTTCCCTAGAAAGTCACTGGAAACCCATTCTCTTTCTACGTACATGGCTCATTTTCTTTTATGATCCTCTGGCCAGTTTTTCCCCCCTATGATGTGTAACACCCACATCCCTGTCAATCTGAACTTTCTCAGTAACTACATGGAAATAGAGAAAAGATATAGCCAAGTGATAATATTTTGTATCTTTACAATTTCTAACACTCAGGAGTAACAACATGGCATGCATTTCAGCAGTTCTTCTGTATTTTCTCTGAAATAAATTAGAAAAATGCTAAGGAAAAGTAACTTTATCTTCATATGGAGAAACTGAGGCAGAGAAACCAATCACATCAGAATTTTAACAAGTCAATCTGAATACTTTTGTCTTATACTTATTTTAAGGGGAGGATATTTATTATTTTTAAGTCAGAGTGTGTGTGTGTGTGTATATATATATACATGTATAATAATGCTCCATTATTTGGACATAGCTGGAAAACTGGATTTTCCACATAAGCAAAATTTCCAGATGAGTCCAGAAAATGGAATCTTATGCCATGAGCACAGCAAGAAAATCTTAAACATGGGGTATAAGTAATACTGTATCAGGAAGAAGGTCTCTGAGAATAGGAGGAAGGCTTGAAGATCTTTTTATTTTTTTTGTCTTCTTTTTCTCTATTTTTCTAATGTAACATGCCATTTTGACTCCTTCAATGGATCATAAGACCATGTCTTCTTTCTCTTTTAAAAAATTTTTCTTTTCTCAGATATCTGCACCCCCACATTTATTGCAGCATTAGTTACAATAGCCAAGATTTGGAATCAACCTAAGCACCCACCAGTGGATAAATGGATAAAGAAATTGTGGTACATATGCACGATGGAATATTATTCAGCCATAAAAAGGAATGAAACATTGTCATTTGCGACAACATGGATGAAACTGGAGAACATGATGTTAAGTGAAATAAGCCAAGCACAGAAAGATAAATCTTACAAATTCTCATTCATATGTGGGAGCTAAATATTAAAACAATTGATCTCATGGAGACAGAGAGTAGAATGATAGTTACCAGAGGCTGGGAAGAGTAGTGGGGAGGTAGAGATACAGTGGTAATCATTAATGTGTACAAAAATATAGTTAGACAGAATGAACAATATTTGATAGCACAATGAAGTGACTACAGTCAGCAATAAGTTATGGTATACTTTAAAATAACTAAAAGAGTGGAATTGAAATGTCCCTAACACAAAGAAATGACAAATGCTTGAGGTGATGGATACCCCAATTACCCTTTGAAAGAACCTAAAATCAAGTGAGTGATCATACCACTTGGTTTTGGCATTATATCAAGGAAAGAGACACTGAGGAGGGCAGAGAAAATAATCTTGCATTGTCTACACCACCCTTCCTCTATCTCCTGGCAGTGTCGCACCAGTGCCCTGACTAGAGAGAGAATCTATGTGCTGAGGGAGGGAGAATGAAGTGATTGTGGGGCTTTGCATTGAAACTCAGGGCCACCCTGGCAAAGAGGAACACAGCACAGGGCAGAATTCTGCTAGTGCCCATGGAAAGAGCATTTAGACCAGACCAGCCAGAGAGAAATCCTCCATCCTGCAACCCTGAGTTCCCACTAGCCCAACCACCAGCTGACAAAAAGCAGCCTGAGGACTAGACTAAATTTGTAAGGCAGTCAGACCAGAAAGTCTGCAGTCCTTGGGCAAATCCTATGGCTGTACTGGCTTGAAGCCAGTGGCCTTGGGGTGTATGTGACCCAGTGAGACATCAGCAGCTGCAGCTAATCCAGTCCTATGTCACCCCTACCTTAACCACACACAGCCCAGCTCAGAGAGAATCTTCTTCTACTTGAGGAAAGGAAAAGGAAGAACTCAAAGGACTTTGTTTTGCAACTTGGAGATCAGCTCAGCCACAGTAAAATAAAGTACCAACTGGATCCCTCAAGCCACTGAGTCCAGGCCTTAATTCCTAGAAGGCATTTCTGGAATGCCACCCTGTGCCAGAAGGAAACATGCTGCCTTGAAGGGAAGGACCCAGTCCTGGCAGAATTCACCACCTGCTGACTAAAGAGCCCTCAGGCTTTCAGTCACCATGGGCTTTGGGTAAGACTGGGCTCGCTACAGATGTGACCTGGTGCTGGTGGCCACAAAGGAGTGCCCATGTCATTCCTCCCCTGACTCCAGCAGCCTAGCACAGAGAGTGATGGAAGTGAGTGCCTGGTAATCCAGGGAATTCTCTTGTATCTTATCTAAATTCACCAAGATGTTACCCTTGGTAAGCTTAGATAAGTCTACAAGAATCACAGCATTACTGGGCTTAGGGCATCCCCTAAGGATGCAGTAACCAAAGACTTAGATCACAGCACTCAATTCCCTTCAAATGTCTGGAAAGCCTTCTTAAGAAGGAGGGGTTGAAATAAGCCCAGTCAGTGAAGATTTAAATGAATACCTAACTTTTCAATGCCCAGACATCAACAAACATTTGCAAGCATCAGGAACATCCAGGAAAACATAACTTCAACTAAACAAACTAAATAAGGTACCAATGACCAATCCTGGTGTGATGGAGATAGGTGACCTTTCAGACAAAGAATTCAAAATAGCTGTCCTGAAGAAGCTCAATGAATTTCAAGATAACACACAGAAGCCTATCAGAAAAACAAGCAGAGACTGAAATGATTTTTTAAAAATCAAGCACAAATCCTGGAGCTTAAGAATTCAATTGATAAACTGAGAAATGCATCAGAGTCTCTCAACAGCAGAATTGACCAAGGAGAAGAAAGAATGAATGAGCTTGAAGACAGGCTATTAGAAAATATATAATCAAAAGATAAAAAAGAATAGAAGAGAATGAAACATGCCTACAAGATCTATAAAATAGCCTCAAAAGGGCAAATCTGCGAGTTATTGGCCTTAAAAAGGAGTCAAGATTGGGGTAAAAGTTCATTCAAAGAAATAATAACAGAGAACTTTCCAAACCTAGAGAAAGATATCAATATTCAGGTATAAGAAGGTCATAGAACATCAAGCAGATTTAACCTAAACAAGATGACCTCAATGCATTTAATAATCAAGCTCCCAAATGTCATGGATAAAGAAAAGGTCATAAGGTAAGCAAAAAAAAAAAAAAAGAAAGAAAAAACATATAAAGGAGCTAAAATACATCTGGCAGCAGACTTCTCAGTGGAAACCTTACAGGTCAGGACAGAGGGGCATGACTTAGTGAAAGTGCTGAAGGAAAAGAACCTTAACCCTAGAATATTGTATTCTACAAAAATATCCTTCGAACATGAAGGAGAAATAAAGACTTTCCCAGACAAACAAAATCTGAGGGTTTTCATCAACACCAGAACTGTCCTACATGAAATGCTAAAAGGAGTCCTTCAACCTGAAAGACAAGGATGTTAATGAACAAAAAGAAATCATCTGCAGGTATACAAGTAATCAGTAACAGTAAGGACACAAACACAGAATACTCTATCGCTGTAATTGTGTATAAACTACTTATATCTTGAGTAGGAAGACTAAAAGACAAACTTACCAAAAATAACTACAACAATTTTTTGAGAGATAGATAATATAAAAAGATATGGATGGAAACAACAAAAAGTTAAAAAGCAGGGGGAAGGGACAGAGTTAAAGTGTAGAATTTCTGTTAGATTTCTCTTTGCTTGTTTATTTGCTTATTTGTAAGAAGAGTTGTCATACGTTTAAAATAACTGGTAATGAAATGTTTTTTGCAGGCCTCATGATAACCTCTAATCCAAAAATGTACAATAGATACACAAAAAATAAAAAGCAAGAAATTAAAACTCACTACCAGAGAAAAATCACTTTTAACAAAGGAAAACAGGAAGAAAGAAAGAAAAAGAGGACCACAAAACAACCAGAAATCAAATAACAACATAGCAGTAATAAGTTCTTACTTTTCAATAACAACACTGAATGTGAATGGACTACACTCTCCCATCAAAAGACAGAGTGGTGGAATGAATAAAAAACAAGAGCCAAGTATATGTTGTCTTCAAGAAACCCACTTCAGATCTGGGGATGCTTGCAGCTCTCTGCGCCCAGCCCAGCTTCTTTCAAAATGTCTACTGTTCGTGAAATTCTCTGCAAGCTCAGCTTGGAGGGTGATCACTCTACACCCACAAGTGCATATGGGTCAGTCAAAGCCTACACCAACTTTGATGCTGAGCGGGACGCTTTGAACATTGAAACGGCCATCAAGACCAAAGGTGTGGATGAGGTCACCATCGTCAACATTTTGACCAACTGCAGCAATGCACAGAGACAGGATATGCCTTTGCCTACCAGAGAAGGACCAAAAAGGAACTTGCATCAGTGCTGAAGTCAGCCTTATCTGGCCACCTGGAGATGGTGATTTTGAGCCTATTGAAGACACCTGCTCAGTACGATGCTTCTGAGCTAAAAGCCTCTATGAAGGGGCTGGGAACTGATGAGGACTCCCTCATTGAGATCATCTGCTCCAGGACCAACCAGGAGCTACAGGAAATTAACAGAGTCTACAAGGAAATGTACAAGACCGATCTGGAGAAGGACATTATTTGCGACACATCTGGAGACTTCCACAAGCTGATGGTTGCCCTTGCAAAGGGGAGAAGAGCAGAGGATGGCTCAGTCATTGATTATGAACTGATTGACCAAGATGCCTGGGATCTCTATGATGCTGGAGTGAAGAGGAAAGGAACCGACATTCCCAAGTGGATCAACATCATGACTGAGCTGAGTGTATGCCACCTCCAGAAAGTATCTGGTAAGGTACAAGAGCTACAGTCCTTATGACATGTTGGAGAGCATCAGGAAGAAAGTCAAAGGGGACCTGGAGAAAGCTTTCCTGAACTTGGTCCAGTGTATCCAGAACAAGCCTCTGTATTTTGCTGACCAGCTGTATGACTCCATGAAGGGCAAGGGGACTCGTGACAAGGTCCTGATTAGAATCATGGACATGTTGTGGACATGTTGAAAATCAGGTCTGAGTTCAAGAGAAAGTATGGCAAGTCCCTGTACTATTACATCCAGCAAGACACTAAGGGCAACTACCAGAAAGCGCTGCTGTACCTGTGTGGTGGAGATGACTGAAGTCTGACCCAGCATGAGCATCCAGAAACGGTGCTCGCTACGCTTCCAGCTAACAGGTCTAGAAAACCAGCTTGCGACTAACCTCCCTCGTGGCCGTCCCCGTGAGGAGGATGTTAGCATTGCCCCCAGCCTTATCTTAGTAGCCTGAGCATTGCCTGACCTTCTTGTCTAGTCTCTCCTTTTAGCCAAAGAAATGAACATTCCAAGGAGTTGGAAGTGACGTCTATGATGTGAAACACTTTGCCTCTTGTGTACTGTGTCATAAACAGATGAATAAACTGAATTTTTACTTAAAAAAAAAAAAGAGACCCATTTCACCTATAAAGACACACACAGACTGAAAATAAAGGGATGGAAAAAAATATTCTATGCAAATGGAAACCAAGAAAAAGCAGGAGTAGCTACACTGCTATCAAACAAAATAGAAATGAATACAAACATTATAAAAAGCGAGAAAGAAGGTCATTATAGAATGATAAAGTGGTTGATTCACTAACAATATAACAATTCTAACAATTCTATTGTTAGATATAACAATTCTAAATATATATGCACTCAACACTGGAACACCCAGATATAAAGCAAATATCAGAGCTAAAGAGAGAAATAGAGTCCAATACAATAATTGTTGGAGACCTCAACATTCCACTTTCAGCATTGGACAGATCATACAGACAGAAAGTCAGCAAAGAAACACTGGACTTAATCTACATTATAAACTAAATGGACCTAATAGATATTTACAGAATATTTCATTCAACAGCTGTAGAATACATGTTCTTCTCCTCAGCTCATGAATCATTCTCAAGGATATATCATATATTAGATCATATGATCTTAACACAAGTCTTAAAAATTCAAAAAAACTGAAATCTTACCAAGTATTTTCTGACCACAATGGAATAAAATTAGAAATCAATAACGAGATGAAAACTTGAAAATATACAAACACATAGAAATTAAACAATATGCTCCTGAATGATCAGTGGGTTGATGAAGAGATTAAGAAAGAAATTTTAAAAATTTTCAAAACAAATGAAACACAACATATCAAAACCTGTGGGATACAGAAAAAAAGCAGTAATAAGAGGAAAATTTATAGCAATAAGCGTCTATATCAAAAAAAGGAGAAAAGCTTCAAATAAACAACCTACACATACACCTCAAAGAACTAGAAGAACAAGAGCAAACCAAACCCAAAATTAGTACCAGAAAAAGAAATAATACAGAGCAGAGATAAATGAAATTGACACAAATAAATACAAAAGACCAAGAAAACAAAATGTTAGTTTTTTGAAAAGATAAACAAAATTGACACACCATTATCCAGACTAAGAAAAAAAGAGAGAAGACCCAAATAAATAAAATCAGAGATGAAAAAGGAGACCATTACAACTGATACTGCAGAAATCCAAAGCATCATTACACACTACTATGAGCAGCTACATGCCAATAAAATGGAAAACCTAGAAGAAATGGATAAATTCCTAGACATATACAACCTGCCATGATTGAACCAGGAAGAAATCCAAAACCTGAATAAACCAATAATAAGTAGTGAGATAGAAGCAGCAATAAAAAGTCTCCCACCAAAGAAAAGCCCAGGACCCAATGGCTTCACTGCTGAATTCTACCAGGCATTCAAAGAACTACTAACACCAATCCTCCATAAACTATTCCAAAAAATCAAGGAGGGAATACTCCCAAACTTATTCTATGAGGCCTATATCACCCTGACACCAAAACTAGAAAAAGACACAGCAAAAAAAAAAAAGAAAACATAGGCCAATATCTCTGATGAACATAGATGAAAAAATCCTCAATAAAATATCAGCCAACAAAATTCAACAATGCATTCAAAAGATTATTTATTGTGATTAAGTGAGATTCATCCCAGGGATGCAAGGATGGTTCAACATATGCAAATCAATGTGATACATCATATCAACAGAACAAATGAATGAAAACCATATGATCATTTCAATTGATGCTGAAAAGCATGTGGTAAAATTCAACATCCCCTTCATGATAAAAACTCTCAAAAAACTGGGTACAGAAGGAACTTATGTCAACATCATAAAAGCCATATATGACTGATCCACAGCTAGTATCATACTGAAGGTGAAAAACTGAAAGCCTTTTCTCTAAGATCTGGAACAAGAGAAGGACGTCCACTTTCACCATTGTTATTCAACATAGAACTACAAGTTCTAGGTAAAGCAATCAGATAAGAAAAAAAAAACAAAAAGCATCTAAATTGGAAACGAAGAAGTCAAATTACCCTTGTTTGCAGGTGATATGATCTTATATCTAGAGAAACATAAAGACTCCACAACAAAACTATCAGAACTGATAAACAAATTCAGTAAAGTTGCAAGACACAGAATCAACATACAAAAATCAGTAGCATTTCTATATGCCAACAGTAAACAATCTGAAAAAGAAACCAAGAAATAAATCCCATTTAAATAGCTATAAATAAAATAAAATACCTAGGAATAAACTTAACCAAAGAAGTGAAAGATCTTTATAATGAAAACTATAAAACAATGATGAAACAAATTGAAGAGGACACAAAAAAAGGAAAGATATTCCATGCTCATGGATTGGAAGAATCAATATTATTGAAATGTCCATACTACCCAAAGCAATCTACAGATTCAATGCAATCTCCATCAAAATACCTATGACATTCTTCACAGAAAGATAAAAAATAATCCTAAAATTTATACGGAACCACAAAAGAACCAGAATAGCCAAAGCCCTCCTGAGCAAAAAGAACAAAACTGGAAGAATTACATTACCTGACTTCAAATTATACTACAGAGCTGTAGTAACCAAAACAGCATGGTACTGGCAGGAAAACAGACACAGGGACCAATGGAACTGACTAGAGAACCCGGAAATAAATCCATACATCTACAGTGAACTTATCTTCAAGAAAGGTGCCAAGAACATTCAGTGTGGGAAAGGATAATCTCTTCAATAAATGGTGCTGAGAAAACTGGATATCCATATGCAGAAGAATGAAACTAGACCCCTATCTCCCACCATATACAAAAATCAAATCAAAATGGATTAAAGACATAAATCTAAAACCCAAAACTATGAAACTATTAAAAGAAAGCATTGGGGAAATGCCTCAGGACATTGGTCTGGGCAAGGACTTCTAGTGTAATACCCCAAAAGCACAGGCAACCAAAGCAAAATTGGACAAATGGGATCACATCAAGCTAAAAAAGTTCTGCACAGCAAAGGAAACAATCAACAAAGTGAAGAGACAGCCCACAGAATAGCAGTTGCAAACTACCCATCTGAGAAGGGATTAATAACTATAATATATAAGGAGCTCCAACAACTTGATAGGAAAAATATCAGATAATCTGATTAAAAAATAGGCAAATGATCTAAATAGACATTTCTCAAAAGAAGACATACAAATGGCCAACAGGTATATAAAAAAATGCTCAACATCTTTAGTCATCAGAGAAATGCAAATCAAAACTACAATGAGATATCATCTCACTCCAGTTAAAATGGCTTTTATCAAAAAGACAGGCAATAAAGAATGCTGGTGAGAATGTGGAAAAAGAGGAACCTTCGTCCACTGTTGGTGGGAATGTAAATTAGTGCAACCACTATGGAGAACAGTATGGAGGTTCCTCAAAAAATAGAAAATAGAACTACCATATGATCCAGCAATCCCACTTATGGGTATATAGCTAAAGGAGGACAATTAAGTATATTGAAAAGATGTCTGCACTCCCATGTTTATTGAAGCACTATTCACAATAACCAGAATCTGGAATCAATATTACCATCTACCAATGGATGAATGGATAAAGAAATTGTAGTATGAATACACAATGGACTATTATATAGCCACAAAAAGGATGAAATTATGCCATTTGCAATAATATGGATGGAACTGGAGAACATTAGGTTAAGTGAAATAAGCATAGAAAGCATAGAAAGACAAATCTTGCATGTTCTCACTCATATGTGGGAACTAAATATTAAAATCAATTGATCTCATGGAGACAGAGAATAGAATGATGGTTACCAGAGGCTAGGAAGGGTAGTGGGGAGTGGATGATAAAGTGGGGATGGTACCCATTAACCATCTCCACTTTACTGAAATTCAACAATGGAACAGAAAATATTCTAAAATGAGAGATAATGCTTTCTTAATTAAAGTGATATCTAGGCAATTAGAATAGCGATAAGGAAACTGGCATTTATTTTAACCTATGAATAATTATCAAATATTATTATAAGGACTATTACTGTTAAAAGTTGAAAAGTTAACTACCATTACTCTATGTGATGCTGTCCTCAGTACAAAAATCAAAATATGGTTTTATGCGTGTGTCTTAGCATTTCATTTTATCAGGCTGACCTCATAGTTAATTCTAATATCAAAATAATATACTTTCATAATTAGGAGTGTTCAAAGAGCATTAGCTACAAGGTTTTCTTTATCATAAAGTTGTGTAACAGTGAACATTGGAAACAAAATGTCCATAAACAAAAGATTGATTAAATATATTATAGTACATTCACATAATAGAATATGAGTCAGATGATGTTGTAGATTTATATTTATTGAGAAAACATTCATAATGTAATTCTAGGTTTAAAAAAAAATCTACATAAGAAAATAGAATGCATAGTAGAGCCCCAATTTTGTAAAAACTAAAATTGAACACATATATATGTCTAGAGAAATATACCCCCAAATACTTACTGTTCTTATTTCTGGGATAGCATAAATATAAATGTGTATGCATGCATGTGTCAGCATGAAAGTGTGTATCTGTACATATATAGGGTATTTGCTTTGCTATATTTTTAATATATAAGCATTGCTTTCATAATCAGAAAGTAAAATGATTTTAAAACTCATTTAAAAAGAAGTATTATTTACTGTCAAGTTTCAATGTGAAAAACAAAGTCTGTTTGAAGTATATATTGGTTTACTGTCATTCTTTAAAGTTATA